ACAGGTGTAATAGACCCAGCTGTCCCTCACAGAGCAGTTCACTGACACATTGCAGAATCCTTCAGCAGAGTCTAATGTCAAATTATTCATCTGTATAATGGGTTTGGCAACGGTTTCTGCAAAGCAGAACCAATGCATATGTTACTAGACAGGTTATAATCAGTTTCACAGCACAGCAGAGACACTAATAAACATACTCAAATTCCCTGCTTACCTTGGACATACAAACGGTACTTGGCCTTGTCAGATACACCCCCGCCTTTTCCAAATATTACAGCAGTATAGGTGCCTTGGTCAGTCTCATTTAAGTTCTTAATGAGCAGAGAGAAGTCGCTACTATCAAACTGTGTTCTTATTGCATAATCTTTGAAGTACTCTGGTTCAGTGTCCCCCAGTGTGTACTCCATCATGTCTGTTGTGTTGGCTCTCCATGATATTCTTCTGATCTGTGAATGTTGAAGACCCTCCACTGTGAGATGAACAGATGCTCCCTTTAACCTATAAACAGGAGACTCTGCAGGGCTGGAGTCTGGAGAGAGATGGAGCACATTTTTAATATAATTGATCCCCAAATGATTAACCAATTACATAATGTACTGAATGCAAGAACAGGCATCTTAAATATCTAACATACTGTATATAAAAGGAGAAATATCAATTGGACACATTGCTGGTAGTGCATGCTTCTTAATTTGCACCAAACATTCCGGAGGGTATGACCTCAACTCTGCTACAGTCATGTTACAATTGATGGGCCAAGTATCAATGTGCTGACACAGAATGAACTTTTCTATGTTAATGTTTTATTTGGGCTCATACAAGGTACAAAATATATGGTGTACATGCTGTGAATTAGTTTTACAGTATTTACAGTCATGGCCAAAAATATTGGCACCCCTGCATTTATGTCAGAAAACGCACCACTTCTCCCAGAAGATTGTTGCAATTACAAATGCTTTGGTATTGTCATGTTTATTTGTCTTGTTGGCACTGGAAGACCACAAAGAAGCAGAGGAATAAAAACAAATCTGAGACAATCCGCACAAAATGTCAAAGATGGCCTGGACAAACTTATTGGTACCCTCAACTTAATATTTGGTAGCACATCCATTGGAAGAAATAACTGATTTTAATCACTTTCTGTAACAATCAATGAGTCTTTCACATCTCTCTACTAGAATTTTGGACCACTCTTCCTTTGGCAGCTGCTCCAGGTTCTCAGATTTGAAAGGTTCCTTCTCCCAGTTGCTGTTTTTAGATCTCTCCTCAGGTGCTGTACGGGATTTAGATCTGGACTCATTGCTGGCCACTTCAGAACTCTCCAGCTCTTTGCCTTAAACCATTTCTGGGTGCTTTTTGAAGTTTGCTTTGGGTCATTGTCCTGCTGTAAGACCCATGACCTCCAGCTGCCACCCAGCTTTTTGACACTGGGCCCTACACTGTGCCCCAGAATTCTTTGGTAGTCTTCAGATTTCATAATACCATGCAAACAGTCAAGACTACCAGTGCCTGAAACAGCAAAGCAACCCCAAAACATCAGTGAACCTCCTCCATGTTTGAGTGTAGGGACCGTGTTCTTTTCTTTGAAGGCTTCTTTTTGTTTTCTGTAAACAGTAGAACGATGTACTTTACCAAAAAACTATATTTTTGTCTCATCTGTCCAAAGGACATTCTCCAAGAAGGATTGTGGCTTCCACAGCTAAGTTTTAGCAAACTCCAATCTGGTTTTTTTATGTATCTGTGTCAGGACAACAGCAAAAGACCTTGTGAAGGTGCTGGCTGAAACTGGTAAGATAGTATCATTATCCACAGTAAAACGAGTCCTGTGCCGACATGAGCTTAAAGGCCACTCAGCAAGGAGAAAGCCATTACTTCAATACCACCATAAAAAGCCAGACTACAGTTTGCAACTGCACATGAGGACAAAACTCTTAATTTCTGGAGACATGTCCTACGGTCTGATGAAACAAAAATTGAACTATTCGGCCATAATGATAAACGGTACATTTGGAGGAAAATGGGGGAAGCTTTGAAGCCTTTGAAGCAGAAGGGACTGGTGCACTTCACAAAACAGATGACATGTCACGCCTAGCTCCGTCCGATCCTCGTGTGTGCCACGCCCCCCTCATTACCCCGTGTTTCTACCTGATTGCTCTCACCTGTCTCTTGTTAATACCAGCTAGTCTTGTGTATTTAGTCCTCGTCTGAGTCAGTCTTCCCCAGACTTGTCATTGATGTTTGCTGTCATTCTACCCCGTGTCGTGGACTCTACCCCAAATAAACCCCGTTCACCCGACTACCTGGCTCCTTTTCCCTGCTTCCCGGATCGCCTGTTCCCAATCGTGACAGAATGACAAGTCTCCCTAAAGACGCACCGCAGCAGGAGGACGATCCCTGGCTCCTCCTGCTGCATGAGGTCGCGTATTGGCACGAGCTGCCGGAGATCCGCGGGGATCCCGGCTTGTTCACCCTAGCGTAGGAGAGCTGGGATCTCCTACAGGAGGTTACCCCATGGACGGAGGAGCACGCGATGGTGGAAATGCGCTCCCTCCTGCAGCAGCTCGTCAACCGGGTAAGGGAGAAGCGGCTCCAGCCGCTCGCCTGCACGGAGGTAACTTCGGTCTCATCGCTCAGCTCCAAGGGCGGGAATTAAAAAAAAATAATTAATATTGTGGAGGCAAGACAGTCTTGTAATATCTTGGTGGGGAAAAGAATAAAACTCTCGGGGACTCGTTGCAACCTTAGGAAACTTTTTACTAACTCAAAACTCAACTCCCACAGCACGTACCAACGTGACGTACACCAATCACCTCACAGACTCAAGGGCGGGGCTACTTGCTCCCAGAAGCAATCACATCACTGTGATAAACCCTGTCTATTACATTCCTTCCCTTTAAGAATAAGACCCATCTAACCTAATAAAGCAAAAATCTCTGCTTACAAGAACTTCCTAAATATCTGGCAGTAACCCTTATGCATTTTTTTTTTTTTTAAACCTTTTTCACTACAAGTCCAGTCTGTTAGGGGCTCTCCGGAGCCTCTCCGGATTTCTCTGTTGTTGCCACATGGGGGGTTCAACAGTGACGCGGTCTTCATCAGGTGATTGATGAACAACTTGAGATGATTGTGCTGGGCTATTCAGGTTCCTGTTTTTCTCTGATTCTTCCACTTCAGACCTTGCTGCACTGGCCAACTGCGGGTCACCCACAACTGGATCCACTGATGGGTGGGTCTTTGTTACCAAATGACAAGCACAGCTCTGGTCCCTTAATTTCTCCTCTTCCAGGTAACAGGTGGTCTACGTGGACTGCATGTCTCCTGTCACCCTCCAGAACCTGATATGTCAACAGACCTACTCGTTTCACCACAGTTTCTGCTCTCCATTTTGCTTGTCCTTCCCTGAAATTTCATACTCTCACGTGGTCATTCTCTTGAAACTCTCTCAACTTGAGTCTCTCCCTGTCATGATACATTTTCTGCTTGGCCTGCTGGTGTTCTACAGTGTGTGACAGATCTGGCCTTACCAAGCTAAACCGAGTACGAATCTCTCTCTTTAAAAACAGCTCAGCTGGAGTACGACCTGTGACGGAGTGAGGAGTAGCTCGGTACATGAGCAGGAAGTTTGACAGCCTGTGCTGTAGTGAAATGCCGGGCTGCCCGCCTGCCTGCAGGACCTGCTTCACTAGTGCTCTTTTTAAAATCTGCACTGACCTCTGCTCCAATTGATGCTGGATGATATGCGGGTACCAGCGTTTGCTTAATTCCATTTCTAGAGAGGAACTGCTTGAACTCAGAGGAAACAAATTGAGGCCCATTGTCTGAAACCACCTCTTTCGGTAAGCCATTTGATGCAAACAGGGTCCGCCGCACTTCAACTGTTTGACTGGAGGTTGTGGATGTCATCTGAAACACCTCCAGCCACTTAGAATGGCTATCCACTACCACCAAGAAGTGTTGTTTATCTTTCTCTGTAAAATCTAGGTGAATTCTCTGCCAGACTCTAACAGTGCAAATCTTTCAAAATCTGTTTTCTGTAGATCTGTGGAACAATCACTCTGAGACCCCATAGGACACATCCCTGGTCTGCCGACAGTTCCTGTCTCCTGACAAAATAAGGCTTCAGCTTCTCATCTGTCAGAAAACTCGGCCAAACTTTGCTTAACACTGGATCTCTGCTCGTACCTAGTCGTATGTCATGTGCAGACACTGGAAGTGTTTCTACATTGGAAAAGTAGAATATGTTGGATTCCTGTGCTGTTTTGTCGGTCTCCCCTACTGGAAGTCTGGACAGCGCATCAGCATTGAAGTGATCCACGGACTTCTTGTATTCAATTTTATAGCTGTACGCCATCAGTATCAGCGCCCATCGCTGCATTCGTAAGGCAGCTAATGTGGGAACCGCTGATTTTGGCCCTAGTATCGCCAGCAAGGGCTTGTGATCGGTTATTAAAGTAAATTTACGTCCGAAAGCCACTGACCTTTTTCTCATCCCTAATGTCGTTCGCCAACATCCACAGTTCAAACCTTTCCAGGTAGGATGTGAAATCCTCCCGCGACTCGTTGAACTCTTCCACTCGTCCAATTAATGCCATGTTTCACAGATTCTAACACAGTGACGCCGGGTCCGCTTTCTGCAGCTCAGTCGTCCTCGTCGCCAATGTAATATCATGGTGGGGAAAAGAATAAAGCTCTCGGGGACTCGTTGCAACCTTAGTAAAAAGTTTCCTAACTCAAAACTCAACTCCCACAGCACGTACCAACGTGACGTACACCAATCACCTCACAGACTCAAGGGCGGGGCTACTTGCTCCCAGAACCAATCACATCACTGTGATAAACCCTGTCTATTACAAGTCTTACCAAGAAATCAGAGTTCCATATTTGTAAAAATTGTAAAATATAACTGCAAAGCATCGCATAAATAACATCGGTTTTCAAATTGGTCTTTTGCTTCTTGGTGTGTATGTTGATGCTTCCATGTCTCATTCTCGCCAGTGCGGGGAAGCAATAAAAAAGGCAAATAGGATGTTGGGGTATATCTCCAGGTGTGTGGAGTTTAAGTCAAGGGAGGTAATGCTAAGATTATACAATTCCTTGGTGAGACCTCACCTAGAATATTGTGTGCAGGTTTGGTCACCATATCTCAAAAAGGACATAGCGGCCTTAGAAAAGGTGCAGCGTAGGGCCACAAGAATGATTCCTGGTCTTAGAGGACTGTCATACGAGGAAAGGTTATTTGAGCTAAATCTGTTCAGCCTCAAGCAAAGGAGACTGAGGGGGGACATGATCCAGGTCTATAAGATTCTAACAGGTTTGGATGCTGTTCAACCGAATAGTTACTTTAGCATCAGTTCACATACAAGAACTCATGGCCATAGGTGGAAATTAGCGAGAGAACATTTCAAACTGGATTTAAGGAAGCACTTCTTTACACAGCGTGTAGTCAGAGTATGGAATAGTCTTCCTGATAACGTAGTGCAAGCTGAATCCTTGGGTTCCTTTAAATCAGAGCTAGATAAGATTTTAACA